CTTTGCTTTTGAGGGGCTCTTGCTATTTTTCTTTTGTTTTTACAGAATCACCTCAAAGACATTCTGACTTCAGTTGTGTCGAGAAGGAAAGCTTACCGGGTACGAGACGGTCATTTTAAATATGCCTTTGGTAGTAACGTCACCCCTCAGCCATACCTGAAGAACAGTGTGGTGGCTTACAACAACTTGGTTGAAGGGTGAGTGAGTGGCTTCCTGTACTCTGCTTCAGTCCTTTGCTGCTTGGTCACTGACCATATGTGGTAGACCACTGTCTAAAGAGTCAGTTATTGTGTTTCTGCTAGTTTGACTTCAACACAGTTATTTCTTAAGCTACATGCTTTATATATTTCTGGTACTTATTTTTTTAATCAGGCAATTGTTTGATTTGATTGCTTCTCACTTTCTGAAGTGGGATTGGGTAGCTTTTCAGGTCCTCAGGTAGTGTTTCCTGATGATGGCCTCTGCCTGGTGAGGAGGTGGTTGGTCTGTTCTCAGCCAGAAGTATGGCCTAAGGCTGGGTCTTTTGACGGTGGGAAGAGGAGGAAGAATGGTAGATGTTTGTTCATGGCCTCACGTGACTCCTTTAGCTGGAGCTCAAGGTCATGGCCTGTGCCCATGTCTTCTGATTGTTCGGCATCTGTTGTACAGATAGGATCTGGATCCTCAGCCCCCTCTGGCTTCCCAGGGCCCTCTTCAGTTTTAAGCCACTCTTCTGTGAGTTGGCTCAGATTACCTTTACCCATTGTACTTTCTCAACAAAATTTAGTGTTAATTTTAACCTTTAGGAAAGAAATAGCAGTACAGTTTTCTTGTGGTTACTGCAGCAGCTGTTCTTCTAAAGGCTGGATTTTGTCTGTCTGGTTGTCCGGCTAGTGGAGGACAGGAGGAAGGAGGTGACCATACAAGGTCAGAGCAAATATTTAAGACCAGGAGGACAGGCAGGAGCTGCAGTGGAGAAATTAGAGAGAGAGGGCAGGCATGAGGGGAGCTGACAGTGGCCAGTCCAAGGCCTGGAGACCCTGATGAGGATCATCTTCAGCTGGGGTCCCTGGTTAGGTTCCACCTGAGGAAGTTATTACTCAAACCTCATTCAGACAGACTTATTTGACATTATTTCATATTTAAGTCATTCTCTGGGGAAAAATTGAAAAAAACAAAACAGTGTTTTTGTGGTCAGAGGTGTTGAGTTGTCTCTGCCATGGCTTTGCTCTGGAGCCCTCCATCCTCTCTCCCAGTCCTCAAAGCTGTTTCTCTAGCAGGGCTTCTTTCATTTGGTGCTTTAAATCCAGTCGCTGCCCCGTCTTTGCTCCACTTCCTTGTATTTTCCTGACAACTGTGTACTTACCTGTGCTAATGTAAAAGTCATGCCTAACTTCCCAGCTTGTCATTTAGTTTGCCTGTTTTGGGAAGTTAGCAAGATCTGGGTGACTTTTTTCTTTTACTCCCATTTTGTCTGCTACTTTTCATGATGTGTATTTTCTAAGCCTGCTGTCACTAATATTTGCCTTCTCCATTTGTTTGCAATTTCATATTTCTAAAGTTACACTGTTTTTTTGTTTTCTTTCCAAAATGGAAAGTCTTAAGGGGCAGGGAACAATTTGGTTCCGTACCCTGAGCTCAGTAAATCTGTTAGGATTGTAGGAGGAGGGAGGAAATGTGGCTACATTCTATTGTCTCCAGCTTGATGCATGGAGCCTTTTGAAAATCAAGAATCTTTATATATGCAGTGGTGGTTTCTACTTCATTTAAAGATACTGAGAATGAGACGTTCCGCAGAGCCTCTCTCTTCTAGGTGTTCACTTGTCTCCATTATAGGTGCTGAGAGTATTTGAGTATTTCTTTAAAACATTCTTTTCCAGCCCTCCAGCCTTTTCTGCTCCGTGTGCCAGTCAGAACCCAGCTTCTCATCCACACCCTGACGATGCTGAGCAGCAGGCTGCCTTCCTTTTGGCATGCTCTGGGGACACTCTCCCTGCATCGTTGCCTCCAGTGAATATGTATGACCTGTTTGAAGCTTTGCAGGTATTTCTTGGCTCCTTAAGGTTTACCTATATTTACTGATACATTAATGACTGTGAGTCTACAAAGACAGCAGCTTTTCTCAGTTTTGACTTGCTTTTTTGGTCAACTGTATAGCCTCATTTTAAAGTCACAAACCTTGTTGTTCCTCTTATTTTACCTCTCATCCATTACCTCATTAAAACAAACAAAAATCCCACTCTTAGTAATCCCAAAGTTCCTTATATTCAATTTTTTTTAATTCTAAAATTTAAATAGTTATTGTGTATTTGTGTGTCAGTGCAACGTGCTGCGACTTGCGTGTGGTCAGAGAACAACTTTGTGGGCTCCTCCTTTCTTTTCCTTTCACCTTTACTTCACGTGCGTTCCAGGGATTGGACTCACGTAATAAGGCTTGCATGGCAATTCTCTTTTAACTGCTGAGTGGCCCATAGAACCATTTAGTTTCCTTATTATCTTGGGATTCACTAGGTTCTGACTTAAAATTCATAGGGTATCTAAGTCATGAGCATTTTTTAAAAATATAGGTTATATTTTTGAATTCTGGAAAAATAAGTCTATTGGAACATAACAGAAAACATGTAATTTTAAAATCACAGGTCCACAGGGAGGTCATCCCAACACATACTGTGTATGCCCTTAACATTGAAAGGATCATCATGAAACTCTGGCACCCCAATCACGAAGAGCTACAACAAGACAAAGTCCACCGCCAGCGCTTGGCAGCGAAAGAAGGACTTTTGCTCTGCTAAATTAGAATTTGAAGACTTGGGACCATCACTAAATTGGTTGCTGAAAATTGAATGTTTTTGAGTCCACATTTCAAAACTGAAGTGTATAGTGTATGTATAACCTTTCCTATGGAAATGTGACTTTTGAGTGCATTTTGTGTTGCTACTGTGAAGCCATTAATATGTCTGACTGATGACCTGTGTGTCTGTGTCCCCAGGTGTAGGAACAGTTATTGTTCTGTGTCTGAATAGGGATATTAAGACACCTGAGGTGAATCTGGTCTGTCAGTAAGATAGGTGACATTGTAGACTAAGGATGCTGTTGTAGTTCAGTCCCACGATTAGCAGGAGGACTACTGTGCTCGGTGATGTATGTTCTGTATCTGGCACTATAAAATCTGCTTTTCCTGAACAACTGTACTCTGCATATTGGTGGAATAGCCTAGTGTTCATCAGAATCTTTTAGTGACTAGTTAGCTGCTGACGTTCTCAAGCAACCTGTTTTCACCCCAGAGAGCAGGATTTAGATAATGTGGTTCTTGCTTTAAGTTTAATACTCAAGTCCAATTCTTAGATGTAGTTATCCTTAAGAGTTTTCTGTAATTCCGTTGTTTTAGCTGACTGATAACCTTGTCAGTCCTATGGAATGTTTTCATGAAATCTTACAAACTAATTTTTCTATTTCTACAAAATGTCTGTTTTACCCTTTCAAGTGGTACTATGAACTTACATTTGACAGTGTTACTGGTAACCAACTTGTTTTAAAGCTACGTTGCTTTTCACTCATGTAGTATTGATGGCTAAGTTAGATGTATAGATGGGTTTTCATAGGCCTAAGCAGTGGATACATGTGAATGTTTTTGTGTGTTCCTATATCTGGATCTGTGGATTTGGTTTTGTATTTTAAACATGACAAATAAACATTTTGGGAGAAACCCTTTTTCTGTTTATTCAAATAAGAGGTAAGGAATATTCTCTTCCACAGAAACAGAAGTCCAGCCATTTGAGATCTTAGCTCAAACTTCAAAAGAATGTACCAAAGGCAGGTTCTTGTTAAAGTATGCATTTAGTGGTATGTAGCCTAAGATTTTTTTTTTTTTAAAGTAACAGCAAACCTTTTAGAGTGTCAGGTGGGTGGGTGACACTCAAGAACTTTTAGAGGTTGAAAGGATTTGGAGTGATAGGCACACACCGCTGATGTACAAAGGGCCCCAGTGCTGTCTAGGATGTGGATGTGTTTGTTGTGTGTTCTCCTGAATTCACAGAGGCAGTTATGAGTGGTAACTGGTCTTGGCTGCCTCAGCAATAGAGAATTCCAAATAGTCGTGTAGCAGAGAATGCTCTGAGCTCGAAGCTGTTCACTGTGCTAGGCCCTGGCCTATACTTAGTGACCTCTCCAGTGAGACCACAGGGCTCCACATCCATCCTGTTTTGAGGTTTATACTCGGGTCTGTCTTCTGTGCCAGATGTCAAGTGATTTTCTGAAGATGGAGTTAGAGGTCAAGTGATTTTCTGAAGATGGAGTTAGAGGTAAGGCAGGGACATAATAAAAATTAAGTTATTTAAGAGTTCCTGAAAAAGATTTCAATTTTTTATTCCACCAAAGGCTGGCTCCTTTTTTGTTATCTCTGCTAGTCATGAGTCTATGTGCAATCTCCTACAATTAGGAATAAACACATATTGTCAAAAAATACATAGAAGTACTTGAAGAAGGCTGTTAGAAACTGTAATTACAGTTACTCGCAAGTTATTTTAACTGTAAGTTTTTAGTATCATTTGGCCATAGGTGATATGCACCAATGGTTGGCCTTTCTTTACCAGGCATATACCTTAGCCTTTCACTGTAGCTCTCTAGCACTTTGTTTCCCCTGCTGTAACCAAGTCAATCCAACACTTCTGTGCTTAACTGCACACAATAGAGGCACGTGAATATGCTTTCACTTGAGACATTTATGAAGATTACATCTATCCAACTTGGCACGTTGACTCATCTGTTACTTTCATCATGGCTGTAACGCTGCTAAGACATGATTTATGGAAGAAACCTATCTGAATCTCTCCAACTTTTAAGAACTAGTGTAAAACCCTGTATTTACCTTCCTTTAAAACTTGGACCACTTGTAGTACATGCCAGGAGACTGCTTCAACGGTGTGATGCAGTGCTGCCAGATCTGATGAGTCACGTATAGGCATGAGCTTAAAACTTAACTTTTGACAATACCAGCAGATAAATAAAACCACCAGAGCCTATTGTCTTTATTATCAAAGTTTATTACTGGGATCAGTTTCTATCTAGTAGGGAGTACCAGTCTCAGTGTGCTATGGTAATTCTCAGGAAACAGCTATTCTGCTCAGTAGTTGTACTGGGGCTCTGTTAGGCATAGATCACCTTAAGTCGGTGAAGATGTGCCCAGAAGACCCAAACAGCAGAACCATCACTCTAGGAAAGTTCCAGTGCTATGTAACCTGTAAGGCATCTCAGCTGATGAGTGATGGATGGTATGGCATGAAAAAGGAGTTAAACCCATTTTTCTACTCTTAAGATAACTGGCTTTTGTGTGGAAATCCAAACATGATATTCTTTAAGCTTTCAAGCAAGTAAAATAAGATCTGGAAACAGGACAGTCAAAGGAAGAAAACAAAATAAAACCCCAAACCTGATGAGAGCATGGAGAGGAACACGGTTTAATTAGATGGCACTTGAGGATGACAAAGCTAATAGGAAACAAAATGTCAGTACATTTAAGTTCTTGGAAGTCATAATCATGTGTTCGGAATTCTAACAAACTGGGCAGGTTAATGACTGGTTAAACAGCTGAGAAAAGTGAAGGACAAACAGGAGTATGAGTACCTGAGTAGAAACTGGGGAAGATGCCGAGAACAGTGTAGAGTCCACAGGAGCCGAGTGGAAAAAGGAAATGTGATCACAGCAACCTGTTGACTAGACTGAGTATTTGGAATGACAGATCTAGCAATGGCTTTGCCTATGAGGTTCTGGTAGGATTTTGTAGCACATATAGTTTGAAAGTAAGGTTTTTTCTTAGCAGATGACTTACATGGGAATACAAATTACTATAGTACAAGTTGTCAGTGACTCATACCTATCTAAAAGTAGCTGTGACTTAAGGCCCCAACCCCCCCACTGACCTTTTGACAAAAATATTAAAGAAATTAATCAAGTCAGTGGGCCTTGTTCTATGTGGACGGAGAGAATGTAGACTTCTGCAGGCAGCCCAAAAAGCAAAGGCTTGTGCACCAAGGGCTGCCTCATTCAAGAGGACAACAGGAAAATTCGGGTCATTAAATAAGACCCTAGAAAGGTCTAGCTGCCAGATTGGAAAGGTAACTGTAACAGCATCATTTATTTTAAAGTCATTATCTCGAATCCTAACCTAGTTTACCTATGGAAAAGCCATCTTCTGCACCAAACCAGTGTCTCACTTTTTAAAAATCTCATTCCCTCAGTGAGGAAACATGTAAATAACAGGAGTACATGTGTGGCATGTTTTTACAAAAGCTTTCCTAGTCTTGACCCATGTGGAAACAGCTTTTACTGAAGCTCCTGTGAAGGCAGGCACACACATGCGTATACTTGAGGTTTCTTCTCCACAAAAAGGACATGAGAGCTGTGTGACAGTACATCTTGTTGCTGAAAAGTGTTCTCCAGAAAACGCCTTTGTGCATTTGGGTTTATAGGCTTCTATACTGGGCAGATGAAGACAGCTTTGAAGGAAGACATGGGGCACAAAGTTTCTTTTCTAATCTTGTTGCTGAACATAAGGGTCCTTCCTAGACTTGGCTGACATCTGACAGGATGTGGTAGATGGGACTGTCTTGATGGGGTGTTCATGCTGTCCAGACTAGGATGTTCAGAGAGCCTCATTGCCCAGTTTGGTCCCTCTGTAGCCATCTTCTTAAACACGTTTTTCTCCCAACTGTTTCAATTACAGTTCCATTTGCTGGAAAACAGAACCTAAGTAGGAATCAGTCTGGACTTCTGGATGTCTTTTAACAAAAGAGTATTCTATCCCGTACCAGGAGGTGGTTTAATGCTTGTGTCTTCTGAATCTCATTCATGTCTGTTTCCATCACTCCCCCCAGCAGCTATACAAAGGTGGTAGCATCTGGAAGAGGAGAAACTCAAGCTGACGTGGAATGTACCTGTGTGCACAGCTGTGGCTTAGCATGGTTTTCTGCCTTTTCCTTTTCTGGGAGTTTTTGATTGGGTTCTTGGAGTGATAAATTGCTTAAGAAATTGAAAATGTTTTCTAACAGAGGGGAAAAGCAAGAACGTTAAAGAATAAAACAACTCCAGCTTAAAGTCTGCTATCCAACAGGGGGCAGCAGAGTGGTCAGCAAAAAGGGAGCCTGAATCCATGGCTTTATAAAGAGTAGGGGCATATGGAGAACTATACCCGAAGCCTAGGGTTCAGCGTCTAGGGTATGAGGACAGCAAGGTGGTGTATACTACGAAGGAGCCTGTGCTTAGACAGCTCTAGGGGTGTGGGGATTTCTATTAGCATTTCACTTGCATGGTGGGGTTGGGGAGAAAAATGTAAACTAATAGACTTTTTCTTTTTTAAAGGAAAGGTATGTTAATTTTAGGTTTCCTATTAAAAAGCTGGCCATTTTCCTTTTCAAAGTATGTAGGTCTACTGGAAAGGAAAGTGAGAATGGGGCGAGTTGTCTGCCTTCCATGTGCTCCTTATTCTGGTCGTCCTCCTGTTTGATCAAAGTGTGTGCAGAGAAGCTGTGGGCCTTTGCTAGAGTGGGCTCTCATCACCTGCTTTTTTCCAAAGTTGCTCCTCTTCTGCACACCTCTCTCAACCGCCTACACACACACTTGATGACCTTAGGCTTGCAAACTTTATTCACTGTACTATTTCTGGTATAGATTCATTTTATAAAAAAATTTAATTTTATGTGTATATGTATGAGCCTGCACCATATGTATGTAGGAGCTGGCAGAAGCCAGAAGAGGGCATTAGATGCCCTGGAACTGGAGTTACTGCTGGTTGTGAGCTGTATAGGTGCTGGAAACTAAACACCCGTCCTCTGCAAGGCTGAATGGTAAGTATTCCTAACTGCTGAGCCCTCTCTCTAGCCCAGGGCTTTTTTTTGATCACACAAACACCGTGTTTCTGTATGTGGAAGTGTATATGTGATTACAGGTGTCAAAAGAAGGTAAAAGAGGTCACTGGACTCCTGAAACTGGAGCTACCGGTGTTATGAGCTGCAGGATGTGGGAGCTGGGAACCAAACTGTGCAAGAACAGCATGCTCTTAACTGCTAAGCCAGCTCTGCAACCCTTCAAAGATTCAATTTAAAAACATCTTCCTTCAGATACCTGCTGACCACAGGAATTGACTGTAATGGCTCAACTCATATCTGAATTTCAATGAGACCAAGATGGTGTTTTTAAACTCTCAGTATTCCCTAGACAAAAGCAAACAATACATATTATCATCTCTCTGCTGGGCATGGAGATGATAATAGTCTCTCTAGGACACAGAGCTGAGGTCTAGAGGTCACCTTACTAAAGGCCGACATCATTCTCTCCCTGGGCAACGGTCCTGCTGATCAGCAAAAGGCAGTGCAACTATGTTAAGTAATGCAAACAGACAGCCCAGCCCTCAAAGTTCAGCATTTTAGAAGAAAGTTGTCTTCAGACAACCTTTCTGTGAGCCAAACAATGTTGAACTATGTTCTAGAGGCCCAAGTAACTTTGCAGTGGGACTGCTCTCATGTGATGTGTTCCGACAGCTCCTTGTTCATCTTACCCACTGTACTCCTGGATCCAGGCCACAAAACACAATACAGATTGGTTTCAGACGAAGAAAGTGCTGATGACCTGCTGTCCACACTGTGGCATGGCAGGCTTATTTCAAGAGAACATGAAAAGACTGAAAAACTTAAGGGCCAGAAAAAAGGTAAGTGCTGCCATGAGCAGGGGCATCAGTGATAGTGGCGGATTTAGTCCTGACCAGTTACCTGAGTTCTCTCAGTCACCCTCAGCCACACTTTCGGGACCACATTCTTTTGGTAGTTCTTTGGGCAACTCGCCCTCGATTTCCCAGAGGACGTCACCTTCTTCTTCTAAGTTGCTAGAGATGTGGCACTTTCTGAACCCCTGGACAATTGATTCACTTGAGATGCTGTTCCATGCAACCATGATCCACTCCAGGAAGAGGCCCAGGGGTGGCTTCTTAGCATTTCCAGTGGGGCTCAGTGCCAGGTTCCCAGCAAGAAGCCAGTTGGAATACTGGGCCCGGACACTGTCATTCAGTGGCTTGTAGACAACCACATCCAGCACCTGCAGCTGTGAGGTCAGGCCCCCTGGGATGATCACCATGTCTGTGTTCATGTTCTCCATGGAAGTCTTCACAGAGTCAGTGGCATGGCACCGGAAGCCATTCAGGATCAGCATCCCTCGTTGTTTGGGCATAGCTCCAGTTCTCCGTCTCCACACAACTTCCAACCAGTCTTGCATCAAGTCCTCGGTCATCCACCCATAGCGGTGGCAGCGGATTTCCATGCCACTGGGAAACTTCCCAGGGGGGATGTATGTCCCCCTCAAAATGATATATGGTGGTAACTTCCTCCCATCAGCCAAGACCCCCAGCATGGCTGTGATTCTCAATTTCTCCCTGCCTGGTGTCTTGACCAAGATGGGCTTTTCACCCTGGTTGTCAACAGTCACTCTAGATGGTACTTCTAAGCAGATGGGTGTCTCATCTGCATTGCCCATCTGTGCCACTTCATAGTCATGTGTCCGGCGCAAAGCCAGCACGCTCTGCTGGTAAGTGACGAGCTTCTCAGTCAGGTCCTCAGCCAGGTGCTGAGGAACTGGCACTTTATGCCTCAGAGATAGGTCATACCTTCTCATCATTCTTCGACACCATCCCAGACTTGCTTTGAACCCTTTCTCTGGAATGTTCATTTCCTGGGCAATTTCAAGAGCTTTCAACTGCATTGCCTCCCTAGTGATGGGGTCCCCTTTGGCCTGCATGTATCTGACATACTCAGCCACTCGCTGGTCTACCAGAGCAAACCTTCCATTCTTGGGGCCTCGGAATGCTCGCCGCATGGCATGAGCATTTTGGAGCTGTGGTTTCACTTTGCGCCAGTCTCGAACATTTTTTTCCAACACCCCAAACTGCTTGGCAGCCTGACAGTTGTTGGTGCTCTCAGCGTACTCTACCACCAGCAGCTTGAACCCTGCATCATAACTGCGGCGCATGCCACGACTGAACTGAAACTTGTTCCCTAAGTCGTCGGCTGAGAGGTCATATCCGGGGAAGCCCATGGCCATATAGAAGGGGTACCCTTCATTCCACTCAGGTAGTTCAGTGATGTCCTGAGGCAGACGCAGGCCAAAGCTGTTGAAGGGCTGAGGCTGAGGAAAATGGGAGGTGGCATTTATTGGGCTTGCCCAATCTGGAGTCCTAAAGTCAGATTCTTCATTTTCTAGAAGACAAATAAGGAGGGGCAAAAGTAATGCCAGTATGTAAAATGGTTTATTTGTAGATTTGGGGGAAAGTCATACTTTTAATGTTTGATCTGGAGCTCATCAAACGTGAACCACAAGTTTAACAAATAAGCAGCCTAAGTCTTTATGTCCCATTAATACTGATCACCGAATCTATTCTCACGGCACTGTGTGCAGCAGAGGTCCTTTGCAGATATAAGCAAAGAGGCCATAGATGTTATGGAATAGATGCAAGGTCGCCAAGTTAAGAAGTGACAGAGAACTTTCAGTGTGATCTGAATACAGGTACTAAGCCTGATAATACTGGGGCCATGTTTGGATGAAAACAATGTTTGTAAGTGAGCCTGGTGATGTAGATCTGTAATCCCAGCTATTTGGGAGGCAGAGGCAGGAGGATCACAAATTCAATGCTGCTACATTAGGCAATTTAGTGAGACTCTGTCTCAAATATAAAGTAAAAAGGACAGCTGGGTTAGAGCTTGCTTAGCATGTACATGGCCCTGGGTTCTATCCCCACTACTACACCACCAGCATCATACAGTGTTTATGTGGATGGGAAGGCAAATGCATCTCTACTACTACCTAACACTACAGAAATCTGCATGTACTATGGGCTGGCTGAGCCACAACCCTTCAACTTCAACAACAAAGACAGCAACAAGATCCCCAAAACCAAACCAAAACAAACAAACCTCAAATCTACCACAAAGCCTGTGTCAGCAAAATTAAGTCTCTTATACAGCAGACACCTGGTTTCTATACAGCAAAAATGAACCTGTTTCATCATACATTTCTATTTGGAAGGTGGTCACAGGAAGTATGGTTTACTACATCTCAAAAACAGAAAGGCCATCAGCTATAAAACACATTATTATGTGCCATGAAAAAAGATAGCTATCACATACCCTTTGTTTAAGAGGCATTCTCAATTACAGTGTAAAATGAAAAGTATGTTGTAGACTCAGTGAAATAGAGCATTTTAAGCTCAACTATAAAGAAAAGCAAATATATTTTGGTAGTTTTAGAGCTATGTTATACATATATATATGTAAGTATAAATATGTTTGTGGAGATGGGTGCATGGATAGGCTGGCCAAGAATGACCTTGAACTTCAGATCCTCATGCCTCTACCTCCCAAGTGTTGGGATAAATATATTTTTCTTTTGATTTCTTTTGATAAATTAGGTACTTCTTAGAAATTACTACTCAAATGTGTACTATGGCTGTCATTGCCTTCCCTATCCAGAAAGGAACAGGAAGCCTAGAGTAAGTAAATCTACAAATGTGCTTTGTCCTTCCTCTCATTAGGTCATTGTCGAGGCATTGGCATGCTGCCAAAGTAGCCATGCTCATTCAGGTGTGGATCGACCAAATGCTGTATCAACCCCAGTTTGCTTTATCCACACACCAGGTTGTACATGAACCAATAATGAAGAAATATAGGCCCAGGAGAAAGGATGCCTACATCCACACAATCTAGAAAGGGGAATCTTTACATCCCAAAGTCTACACATGATCTTTGTGCTTCACTCCTAAATACCTTATATAACACACATGGAAACCCAAAACCCAGCTTGTTTCCCTTGGGTAGATGCTGAACTGGTTCACTCAGTACCTGCAAAGGTTACTCCCTGGAGCCGCCACTCATCAGAATTAGGACATTCCTCTTCCCTTTCCAACCGATTGATCATATCTGGCTTGGGGAATGGGAATTCTGTTCATGGAAATAAAGCAGGGAAACAGCTGTGTATTACTAGCCTGACACAATGCCAAATTAAGTACTATGCACCCTCCTACCACTCCCACCTCCCACTGTAGAAGATGGGGACAGAGCTTGGTGAGGTGACACTTAAAGATATAAAGGATGGAAAGCAAAGTCAGTTGGGGCTTTCTGGATCTCTGTGAATGGGATCTGGTACTAGCAACAGCAAAATAATATGATTGGCAGCAAGGTGGTGGATACACCATCAAAACAATCAACATTCTGGAACCCAACTGAGCAAAACTGGGAAAGTCTTCCAAATAGAAGAGGGGTGATGCCAGTGTGTGTCTGTGTGTTGGGGGAGTACTGTCAGGGTTATATCCCCAAGTGTTGAGGTTGGTAAGTATAGGGGAAGGGGTTTCCCTAATTGGTTCTTGATTTTGTCAATAAAAAAGGCAGAAGCCAATTGCTGGTCAAAGGGGAGAGGGTGGGACATCCAGGTCACAGAAGCAAGAGAAGAGGATCCAGAGAGAAAGAGGATTCGGACCAGAGTGGGGATGGTAGGATGCTGCAGACGTGTAGGTCTCAGGGCAGAGGTCAAGGAGTACTGAAGGAGCTAGTTGCTAAGACTAGGGCAGGAAATTCTTTGCCTAGCCATTGGGTCATTGGGCTAGTTTTAAAATAATAAAACTGTCTAGTGTTTTCCATTTGCAGCGATAAGGTAGGCAGGAGGAGGAAGCAGGCAGCCAGGGAGGTATTGGCAGCTTGTCAAAGCTAGCCGTGAGGGGCCGCTGGAGTATAGACGGCAGCTCCAGGATTCCCCAGGGTTGGGGGATGGATGAAATCTAGTTGGAACTAGGGGAACCAGGAGAGGTCATAGCATGGGCTGAGGCACCAGGCAAGAAGACAGCATGATTTTAAAATTACAAGCAACAGATAAAACAACAAAGTTTTCCTTTCCAAGAATCAACAGAAGACAGGCTTAGATCCATGGTGATATTTTGAAGACTTCCTTCCTTCCTTCTTTCCTTCCTTCATTTCTAGGAATGGGAATACTTGGGCCAAATGAGGACTGTTCTAAGAGGTAGCATGAGTTTCCAAATAGAAGTATGTAATCTGCATGTCATATCCAAACCAAACTCAGGGAATGAAGTTGGCAGAGGCACAGGAGGGGAGTCCCACTTAGAGGAAGAGACTGAATGCAGCAGAGAAGACAGAGACACTGATAAAGTTCTCTGGGTCCAGAGAGTCCCAGAGACAAAGGACACAAAGCATTACCCAGGGACAGGACAGTTTCATAATTCATCCTCATGACTTCCCGGTAGAGGGCTTTTTGTTGCTCTGTCAGAACTTCCCACTCCTCATCCGAAAAATATATGGCCACCTCATCAAATAGGGCTGGTACCTGGAACATGAACAGTGCTTTCTTAATGACTGGTACATGCACAGCCTTCATCCTCACAGGTCACTTCAGGGCTCTCACCCAGGGAGAACGATCTGTCTATATTCTCATTGCTCTTGGAGACAAGAGCCCTCTTGTGTCCCACCACATAACAGCTGCCACCATCATGCTGGGGGACCCTGGGCATCATCTCCTCAGGTACTGCATGAAATCTGCTCACAGTTCTTCTGGGATTTCCAAGCCATCCACAGCCCACATAAGTATCCCCACAAAGATGTCTACCCTATCTCCTACACCCCCCTATCTCCCAGCCAGAGACCCTCAGCCCAGAGGGTGGGGATGGATTTCAAACTGAATAGGATCACTGCTTTCCATGGCATCTTTGTGAGTCACAGAGACCTCCTCTCAATGAGTCAACCTTTCCTGCTGTTGTCTTAAGACCAATGCTGTTCTGAGGAGAGCCGCAAGAGAAGGCGCCTAGCTTCCCTTCAATCTACAGAAGCGTGAGCAGCAGAGAAGGCCCAATTTAAGCTTCATTCAGGGAACGAGATCCAGCAATATGGTGGGCTTTTATGCCAAGAGGAGACTCCCTGCTCCTCTCCCATTTGCCCATCTTTCCTCTTCCTTTTCTGGGCAACAAAAGGAGGGCATAACTTCCTAGCTAAGGATGGCCAGCCACCAAAATCTTTTGTTTTTCCAAATGATTTGCTTTTCTTTCTACTGAATTTTCCTTGTGGTCATTAAAAATTCTACTCCAAAGCTCATATTCAGTGTTAAGAAATCATTAATGAACTAGTTTCATGCTTTCCACTTTGCATTCTCTCCTTTAAACTTATTTCTCAAAGCTGTTCTCTTGGGCCAGCATGATCATATTGTCTCTCCTTAGCTTAGAAAATCAGTGTAAGTATGGCCGACAGCCTCTTCAACAGTCAAGCTGTCAATCACAACACACACAACCTGGCCTTTCTTCCCTTAACAACTAGGCCTACTTACTAAGTAGAAATAAGTGTTATCTTCTATATTGGGAACACAAACTGGGAAAGGGCCTGCAACTGCTGCCTGATTTCCCTCAGTAATCTCACAGAAGAGCTAAGTATTGGGGGCGTGAACTCAAAGGAGTCTTATTTCTAGGCAAAAACCATACAAAGCCAGTAAGTGACAAGGTTGAGACAACAGTCAGCACTGTGTGAGTCCAAGGCTCTCCCTAGAGGGGAAGAAAATTTTTTTTCCTGAGTGACTCATCATCTTTATTCTGCAGCTACACTAGCTTCTCACCTGATACTTAGAGACCTCTGTGCACTTGGGCCCTGGCCCATGAGGTCCTCTTCTTTTACACCCACCTATCTTCAAGACCTGGCCCAGACTACCCTACTCTGTGGGTCATGAACATGCCAACACAGCTCCATGGTCCTATGCTCAGCACTCTGGTGCCTTGCCACACTGGGCATTTTGTTTGACTTCTCTGTTCTTCACTTAAATCTGACTTTCCTGAAAACAGCCTGTGTTCAGTTTGTTTCTTTAAGCCTAGGATGCTTTTAGAGCTCAGTGATTCTCAACCTTCCTAACACTGTGACCTTTCAATATGGTCCTCATGTTGTGGTGACCACCCCAACCATAAAACCTTTCATTGGTACTTCATAACTGGATTTTAGCTTCTGTTATAAGTTGTACTATAAATATCTGATATACAGGATCTGATCTGTGACCCCTGTGAAAGGGTCATTCAACTCACAAAGGGGTCACGAGAACTAATGATATAGCTAGTAGGCACAAATCAATAGCTAGTAGGCACAAATCATTTACTACAGAATGAGTGACTGAGGCAAATATATTACCTCTGGATTTCTCTTTTCCTGTTATACTTGGAATAGTTTCAAAGAATTAAAAGTTTTATCTGTCAAGAAACCAAGTCAACTCTCTGGAGTAAGAGTGGACAAAAACATCTTTACGTGTGGAACAGTAGGAGGTAAAAACATCGTGGTACCTAGGCTTTCTGACTTCTTCCACAATCTGGAAGCCAGGCAGCTCAGTGAATTTCCGGCCTACTCTATTCCTACTACCCAAGATTTTAAACAACTCTCTCTTTGAACTTTTTACTCCCTTACAAGTTCCAGATCTAGGCCATAACTATTTATAGGCCCCTTCTGTTTGCTGACAGGAAGAATGTAGGCCTGGTTATACCAATTCCCTACAGAGCAGGTAACACATAATAGTGACTAGCAAGAGCTGATGTGGGGACTCCTCTCCTAATTATCATATGGCTAGAGGATCTTCAAACAAGTCCACAATAAGTACCTAAGGCACAGTCCAGAGGCTTAGGAAGCCTGCCCAGAGCCCCGTGAAGATGGGACAAGACTCTGGGTCTTGCTAGGCAGGCTTCTTATGCTGCAAAGAAGCCTTTTATTTGGTCAAACACAGCAGAAGGTAAACAGGGCTGGCTCTAGGAAAAATTCAAAGGCCAGGCAGTCTGCAGTTCAAGCTTCAGGTAAGAACCTGCTCTTCCTGTCCTTCCTCTCTCATGTGATTAGGGATTCATCAAAGAGGTGTTCACTCTCCTGGGAAGCTGGCATTCCAATACTTCCTTTTAACGGTACCTGTCCTGTGAAGAACTGTACAGGTTTACTAGATAGGCGGCATCTGAGGGGAGTTGGAACCATGGCACCACTGGGGTCCCTGCTAGGTGAGGTACTATTTAAGCTATTTCCATTCATGTAAACGTTTTATCTCTTTGAATTACTTAAATAAGCTATGAATATGGGGATTGCTATTGACTTTTACAGTTAAGGAAACAGTGGCTAAGTAGTTTGGCTGAAGTCACACAGCTAGTCTGATTCTAAAGCCAGTGTTGTCTCAACAGGCCACATAGGCCTTACCAAGGTTACTATAGTATGTAATCCTTCCAAGCTCTGCTCAACAGAGGCCTGTCATATAGACGGAAGGGTTGAAGGCTCACCCCTTAAAGTTACTCAGGCCAGCTCTAACTACCAGTGCAGCAGACCGCATGGCCTGGTCTACCTTCTTCCCACTGCCTGTCACACACTTAGGGTTCCAGCTTCACGGGCAGCTCTTACCTCTGCCCACAGCCTCCCTCTCCCATGCCTCTGATCACACTGTTCTCTGGCCTGGAGTGCAAACTCTCCTTTCCCTTTGCACATCTCGCTCATTACGAGGCTCAGTTCAAAGTGTGGTGTTCCTTTCTATTTGAAACTGTATTTCTACTCCAACTCTAGAACACAGCTTATAAATGTGTGTAGTCCTTATTAACCATCTAGTTACTGTCAAAATATGCATTTAACACACATATTCTATTTTTTCCTTTTCCCGATTTAACGTGCTAATAGATCCATGTCTCTTTTTTTCTTGGTTTTTCGAGACAGGGTTTCTCTGTGTAGTCCTGGCTGTCCTGGAACTCACTCTGTAGACCTGGCTGGCCTTGAACTCAGTGATCCTCCTGCCTCTGCCTCCCAAGTGCTGGGATTAAAGGCATGCGCCACCACTGCCCGGCTTTTTTTTCTTTTCTTTTTTTTTTTTTGGATAGATCCATGTCTCAAGCACATGTTGTTGACACTTCAGACTACTTACTTCCTTGTCAAACATGCAGGGTGCCTTCATCTGCACTGCAGCTGAATAGGGAGATCCTTGGCTGAAACCGAAGATGCCAGAGGATCCTATACTTCAACCTCTACCTTGGGTCACAACAACTAAAATAGTTGTCTCTGTATACTGCTAAATGTTCTAGAGTGGGGAGGGGCACAACTGTCCACTGCTCAAGACCAGGCCTTCTCCAGGAAGTACACTGTCAGGTCTGAATGAGCCATCCCCAATTTTGCCTGTGAGAACATCCCGAGCTGACCTGCACTGTGCTGCTAGGCTTCATTCACTGTCTTGAGAGTCATGAGTCCCCTCATGAGACAGGATGCCATGGAGACCGGGATCTTATCTTAACCCTGTGCAGTAACTGTAGATGCACGGTAGACTTCCCAGCAGCTACAAATGCCCCAAACCTCAGGCCTACCCCTCAAGCTGCGAGGCTCCCTCCTTTAGCCACTCTGCTCATTTCTTTTTTTACTGGGCAAGGCATGCTCTTCCCTTGACTTTTCTCATTTGCTCAACACAATCAAGATGTCTACTTTTAATGCTTCTCCGTATTTCTCCAGCCCATTTAGATATACTGGGTTGCTCTCTTTAGCCTCAGAATTCAGGGTTCCTACTGCCTTTCAGGTCTTCCCTCAAGCTAGACAGGACTGACTCCTGCCTGAGTCAGAACTGAGTCAGAACTGAGTCCGACAGAGTAGACCAAGAACATGAATGGATAAATGTAACAGCTCCAGAGCAGTGAGCCCAGAGTCTGGCAATGCCCTAGTTTATAATGAAACCTAATATAGAAAGACGGACCATTGGCGGGGCTGTAGCTCAATATGTGTGTGTGTGTGTGTGTGTGTGTGTGTATGTATATGGATTTTCACAGTAAAGATGATGACCTTTAGGTACCCACAGTTCCCTTCTGTAGAAGGGGTAGACTAGATAATTTGGAAGAAGGGTCTTTCTGCTTCTTTGCTGGCAGCTCTGGGTTCTATGTTGAAGGAAGGGCTTCCCACTCATGGGGCACCAAGGATATTATGTGCTGATGCTACTGATGATGTTTATATACAACAAAAAAACTAAGCAATGCCAATTTATAGTTCATATTCAATTTCCACGACTCTAGTAACCACTGTAAACAAATGTATGTATTATATACTGTTGCACCTGTAGCTTTGTAGTCCTTGGACATTTCCACTCATACCTAGGTGACATATAGCTCTGGGTGACAATTCTCATGTCAGCTCTATGACCCAAGTCTTACATGCATTTGGTGCCTACAATCTGTATGGTGCTATTGTCAGGCACAGAGGAAATGGGTGCCGAGAGAGTGACAAGAAGACAAGGTCTCAGTTTCTAAGACTTGTAATCAGTCTTGCCGATGGTGGCCCTGTCCCCTCACCACCTCCTCCACTATTTGCCTTCTGAAGCCACAAGGCTGCTTTCTCAGAAACGCAAACACAGGAGACTGGGCTATCTTTACTTCCCATGTCCACCTCCGTGTTCTATGTTGTACTTCCAGGAGGAAGAGCTAGAAGCAAGTCCGGCTCTCAGGCTGGACCCCCACACCTTACTTACCCACGCGCCTTCTGAGCAGATCTGTACTTTCTGCATATCTATGGGGCCATCCTCCAATTCCTGGACCTCAATCTCGTCTTTTTGTTCTTCCTTCAGTGTCAAATTTAGAGGGAAGGCTCGGGACTCCATTTCTGCATTCAAGAGTTAGCAGATAGAACTGGTGTCAGTGTGAACTAGTCTGTGAGAGGGTGGCTCAGGCACACACAAACCTGTTTAGGTCAAAGCATTGTCTGCTTCCAGCTGGAAGGAAGGGGTTCAGAAAGATGGCTTATTTAATTATTAGAGAGGCTGAGGGCAGGTAATGTATCTGGCTAACTTCAAATATTTAAAAAGCCTCCTGTGGTACAGAGACCAGAGTAGTTTTCACAGAGCCTCTGTGCAGAAGGGTAGAACTTAGAACAGTGGGTGAACATTCCAAAAACACAGTGCAGTGACAGGTAGAAGTTTCCACTGCCAGTACCACTTGAACATGGAATCAGGACCAGAGGAGGGTGGTGCTGATTTGCTACCATGTCAAAGTATATGAGCCTAGATAGGAAATTTGAATAGTTAGCCCAAAATACTTATCACCTGGATTTTCCAGATTCATAGGTGATTCATAGTCCACAAGTCACTTCAGAAACAACAGTCTTTCTGCCTCAAAGGACCTTCCAAAGCCAAGTCCCTGATACAGAGAGGGGCATGCCTGGGTGGCAGAGGCCAACCCAAACCTGGCAGGACTTCTCCTCGCCTCTGGGTCGTAAATTCTCTCTATTCGAAGCCTCCTCAGGCTGGTACAAAGCGGCTGCTGGGTGTGTGGTGAGTGTGCATCTTGTGAGCTCCATTTTCCGGGACTTCCCAAGCAAAGATCTTCCCTGAGTTCGGAGTCAGCTTCTTCAATGTTTCTGGGGTGGGTGGCGGCATGCAGAGGTAGGAATACTCGTGAGGTCCCAGGAGCCCGGGCCTGAACTTGGCCGAGGCCTGCGCCCGGCTGCGGGGCGGGGAGGTGGGAGGGGCCGGCGCGAAGGTGCCCGCCGCCGCCCCTGCTCGCTCTTGCCATCTTGCCCAACCCTTTCCCGCCACCCTCGCCCACCGCTAAGGCCCTCCGTACACCTGCGGGGCGGCGACAGCCCCCGCCGCCCACCTCCCCGGCCGGCCCGCAACAAAGGCGGCAGCGGCGACACTGCCACCGGCGGCCCCCGCCCCGCCGTGGCCCAGCCTCCCCCGCCGGCCTCGAGGACGAGCCGCCCCGGCCCCGTGCGCACTCACCCCCGGCCGAGCGGGCGGCGCCGCCGCAAGGGGCGACCAGGGCTGTGGCCCGGCATTCACCGCGCCATCGTCTCCGCCGCTCCCGCCGCCCCGGCGCGGCCCCTCGGGAGGAGCGAGGACACGTGGTGGGAGGGGAGGGGTGGGCGGAGCCCAGGGTGTTAGGGGCGGGCTAGGTGCGGCTGACGTCAGCAGGCCTCGGCGGCGCTTCCGGCGACGTCGGTGCTTCGAGCAGGGTTAGCCGGGTGGCTGGCTCGCTTGTGGCCGCCGAGGTGGGCGTTTGCTCGGTGGGACACCGGTGGCCTCTCCGCTCCGGCGTCCAGTAATGGTCTGTGCGCGGACGGGTGACTGGGCTCATCGTTCCTGTTCTGTCCAGAGCGCTGTTCTTAGCATACTGAGAAGCGAACTTGAAGATTTTTGTAGCATTGCCTATTAACTCCCAAGCATGTAGTTCCCTGGACGAAGTAGCTGTGAAGTTCTTTCGAGTTGTTTGCCCACAGCTCTGTGGAGAATATAGTAACTATGTTCCAAGAGACCTCGAAACTCTCCTTATTTCAGAAGAAGATTCTAGAGTCGGAGATCTGTTGAGAGCGTGTTTAAACAAACATCACACACGCACATGTACACACGTATACATGCACTTCATACTTATTAAAAATACTAAGAGATTGAGTTCAACTTGGGGGTTGGTGGTTTATAGCCAAGGAGAGGAAGGAGTGTGGATGTCAGGGCGTGAATAATTACTAAGAGGAATTATCAAAGATTGAGAGATTCTTGCTAAATCCACTGAACTAGATTCTTGTTGAAAGCAGACCAGGCTGATCAGATATCAAGGGTGCTAAACTGACTTAGGGGGATTCTTGCTTAAACTAGGCTGGGCAAGCAGAAGATGGGGGTGGGGGTCACTGCAGCAGAAGCCGATCAGAAGAGGATTCAAGAGCCTAACTGTGGTTAAGAAAAGAATCTTTTTTTAAAATTTATTTTTATTATTTTAAGTAATATGTGCATGGGTGTGTGCTTATGCCTGACAACCAGAGTCATGGGATATCACTGTGTTGGAGTTACAGATAGTTGTGGGCTGCCTGATTTGAGTGCTGGAAACCAAACTCTGATCCTCTTCAAGAGCAGTGCTCTTAACCCCCGAGCTGCCTTTACAGCCCCAGGAGAAGCTGTCTTTAAATATTTACTTTAAACTTATTGCTTCTGTTCACATATGTATATAAGTACAAATGCCATGGCATAGATGAGCTCTGCTTTTAATCCATACAGTACGGCACAACAGACACAACCTTGAAATGTCGTTATGGCTAACAAGAGCAAAGAGGGCTTAATCATCGGATAGAGATTATTAACATATTGAAAGAAAAGGATAGGATTTCTTTGTTGTTTTAATGGACAGCTCTTTTGATGTTTAAATTTAATTTTTTAAAATCAGGCGTGGTGGCTTAAATTGATTGATATTCTCATTTTAACTTTGCGGAGGGGAATGGCAGTTAGGAAAAGTCAAGGGTGCTGGGTCATTGTTGGCACCTTCTCTCAAAGATGATCGTGTGTTCTGATGTAAGAAAAAGCAATGCTAAGTTTTAGTCTTTGAGAGTCATATATATACACACACACACACACACACACACACACACACACACACACACGGCTACTCAGTGACCCATTCTAATCTTTACATTTTTTTCAAAAAGATTTATGTAGATGAGAGTTTTTTTTTTGCATGTATGTCATTGTTTGCTCTGTAGTGCTGTGATACAACACCATAACTAAAACAACTTGGGGAGGAAAGGGTTTGTTTTAGTTTAACAGTTGTAGTTCATCATGAAGACAAGTTGGGGCAGGAACTGAAGCAGAGACCATGAAGAGTGCTCCTTGCTGACTTGTTTCCCATAGCTTGCTCAGCCCACTTTTTTTTTTTTTTTTTTATTGGATGATTTATTTACATTTCCTATGTTGTCCCCTTACCCCATCCCC